TGCTGGTTAATGAGTCGACGAGAATGTTGAAAAGACGGGTGACAGAATATTTTAATAAAAAACAAATACAAATTGATTTTGTGTTCTAGTGACATATGATATATTGGTACATGTCGAAATTCTCAGAGGCATGTAGTAATTGACTATTGTTAACAAAATAAACATTTAATTCTAAGATATGTGTTAAATCTTTTGTTCATCAAGAGAGATTGTTTATTATATGATAGCTCTAGTTTTCCATTTAATATTTGATAAATTGTTGCTCTATAAAAGATCGAGGTTAGAATCTTTTCTTTCCCCAACTTAGAGAGTGAAAAAAGTTAGGATAAGATGTGCTTATACACCTATTTATTGTTTTTATATCTTGTTATTTTTAAAAATCTATGTAGAATGATTCGTCGTTTCTACACGATAGAAGTAACCTGTCGAAACCAGTTAGTTCCACTGAAATATTTTTTTCTGATCTCTAGCCTACATTTTTGTTTCTACTCATGAAATATTGAATAATTTTATTCAGTGTCCAGTTTCCTTATTATTTATTTGGTTTTGTTATATATTTTTAATTTTTTTGTTCTTGGTATTTATTTAACATAATACACTTTTTCGGTCATATTTTTATCTTGGATATTCTTACTCTCTGTTTCTGTGGAATACAATACTTTATTAATTGCTTACTTTGTTTTAGATAGTATATTCATTTATTTATTTTGCTTATTTGTTTCTATCTAGAAATGATGTTTATATAAAAAGACAAGAGCGATGAGTAAAAAATCAGCATCACGAACATTTTTCTCTAAAAATGAACATCATCTCCGTTCAAAACCATTGACAGTCGATAAGTTTGTTTTTGATGAAGAAGTCAGTGAAAAAGATAAATCAAAGAAAACGCTATTACACGAATCACTTACAACACCAACAAAACGTCAGCGTAAAGAGCGATCAGCCACGAGTAGCGAACCACAAACAAAAAGAGGTATACCACCAACAAATGTGAATAATAAACAACAAAAAGGACACATTGCTCAGCCGTATGATGGCTACGAAAGACCAGTAACACGTCGTGCATCACGTCTAGTTTCACAAACAAACACATCAACAACGGTAGCTGCGCCACCTTCGTCATTAGCCTCTACCATTGATTCACCACAGCTTCGTAAATTAAAAATGAAACCTAAATTAATAAAGAAAAAACAAAGCAAAAGGAAATCATCACCAACAATTTCATCCTCATTGGAACCAGCAGCACCCGTGACTGCACCTCCAGAGATATCTACACAATCAGTAACTCAAAAAGAAGAGCCCTTACCAAGAACAACCCAAGAAGCAGAAAACATTGTGCCCAAACGGCAAAATATTCGTAGACGAATTCAAAAATCAACCAGACATAAAGAAAAGGCTGTTGCGTCATCTGAAGTGAATCTCGATACGTTAGCCCCTAAGGAAAATGAATCAAGACAAAATAATGATATAGCTCTCAATTCTACTCCGATTCTTACCGTTATTCATAATGATGATAGTAACAATAACAGTCAAGCTTCACAACAATCACCAATACAGCAACAAATTGATTTTGATTCTGATAAAATTAATGATATATCAATATCGGAAGCCATGACGCTCGGATCACCTATTCGATGCGATCAAAATGAAGATGACAGTGACAATTCGATAAGCGTCACATGGACAGGTTCAAGCAAAATGTCAACAGAAATATTGAAAAGACGTTTTCATTTTCCGAAGCAAGAGCCGCAGCAATTCAATCGAAAGGTAAAAACAATAATATTTTTTCAGAGAATCGTGTTGAATTTTGACCCTAGCAATAAATTATATGTGCATATTTGGTAAAAGTATACAATTCTAGCTACTTTGTCGAAAAAAGTGTTAATTAAATTTCTAATAAGAAAGTAACTTCATTATTTTCTTTTCAAAACCTATAGAACGGAAGTAAACTACTATTAATTAAAGAATTTTTATTACCAAATAAATTGTAAAATTTGAGTTATTAAGTTGTCATAGATTGAAACTGTCACTTAATCAAAACGGTTTTTTTATTGCTATCAAACTAAAACAGCAACAAAACACCGCTGGTAAGTGGAATATTTAGTGATTAAAAGAAAAGTATAAGTTTGTTATAAATGTTGGTCGACTTATGTAGCAAAAGAACACATCGAGAAGATTTCATGTCAACAGTCCATAAAATTAGCGATTAATACGAATAATTCTCTCTAAAATGAAGATGATGATAAAAAAAATGAATTTCGTGTTCGTGCGTTCTCTCATGTGTGGAGTTTTTTTTATAAAAATTTGTGTATCGTTTACAAATAAACATAAACAAAAACAGTTTGTTTTTTAATTAAATATATATTTAATACACTTGAGAAGGTCGTTCACAATCTTTTTTTAACATCATCTTCTTCCAAAGAGAATTAATTTGTGCTCATGTTTATTAGCTAATTTTTTTATCGCTGTTATCTCTCTCTCTTCTATTTGTGAACAATCATTCTCAAGTGTAGGGAATGGGAAGTGCTTATTGGTCTTATGTTGTATACATGCTATTTGCAGTGGTTTTAACACTAAATACGCTATCCAGATCCAAGCACTAATTTGAATCTTGTAGCTAATTGACCCTGTGTTTATAGGTTTTTAAGATCTTGGTTATTACAGAGGATTTTTTAGGCATGTAACCCGGTGAAAATCATCCAGCTTAATTTTAGTATGTGTCTTATTTTTAGAAGGCGTTTATCCCAAGGTTTTCGAATCTTGAATCATTCTCTGAAAAATTTTCTGGTACTCCAATTAATGACTCATTAACATCGGTTAACAAAAATAATATAAATTCGAGTGATTTAAATCCTCAACCACTAAAACGTCGTTTGAGTAGACGTTGTTCAGACGAAGATTATCAACCTCCCGAAGCACTTTTACGTGAAATTACAACACAATTACGAACAGCAATTTCTCCTTTATCACCATCTAATATTGAAGTAAATTCTTTACGGAACGATTTTGAATATGATTATCCAAATAATACGTTAAATAATACAATGGATAGTGAAAAAGATGATTTCGCACTCAATTCTAAACCCAAACCACGACGATTTGCTGTTAAAAGTACTCAAGTAAGAAAGAATAATAATTCTCAAATAACAGGAGAAAAACAACCGAATAATAATGTTTCATGGAAACAATCACCAATAAAACAAACCTCAAAATTACCACAACAGTATGACGAAGCTGACGTCGAAGATGATGTAAATGAATCAATAGCAGATGTTGATGTTGATGATTACGATTATCATCCGAATGTAAGTTATTCAAAGAAAGGAACAAGTACGGCACGAAGAACAGCAACTCGAGGTGGATCTAGAATGGGAAAATATCCACAGCAACAACGAAAAATGTGGAATGATGAATATGATGCATTTGATGAAGATGAAGACGAGGAATCATATGAAAGAGGTATATTTTTTGCATTTGCAAGTCTAACCAAATGTTTTTTAAACCTAAACACATTATTTTGAGTACAAAATAAAAAATCCAATTGTTTCTTTTTTTAGGTCATAATCAATCTTATGATGAAATGTACACATTTGAACCAGCTAATAAACGTCGTGCCAGTAATGCTCAGTATCGTGGAACTAGTGACACTCGTCGTTCATCCCAGAGTAGTTCAAATGAACGTCGTATTGCTATTAATAACGGCCGTCAACCAATTTATAAACCATATAAATCATCAACATATCGGCCCACACCCGCAACTCTTGGTTTATCAAGTAGTCGACGTAATACAAACTTTTCCACACATCGCGCTGTCGATAAACAACGGCCCATCGTGAATACAAGTGGATTTAATTCATCAGGATTAAAACAGCAACGACACTGGGTAAGTTAAGAGTTCTACCATATAAGTAACTGATTTGTTTTCATAATATATCTGTTTAGCCATCAAATGATGATGAGTATTATCTATCATCGACATCCGGTCAACTTCAACCGGGCCTAGTTCCACGCACATCGTCGGCAACATCAACAATGTCATCAGTAGCTCATCAAAATCGAACAAACTCTGGGAATACCTATGTTGCTAAAATTAATGATGTGCAGTTAAGTGAAGTAGCGAATAGTTCACAAATATTTTTTGTTAATGTTCCTCAATCAGGACAAGAAATGAATAATGCAACGCGTACTGATCAATCACAACAACAACAAGTTTTATCGGTATTAACTGGCATGAATTCAACAACATCACCACAAACAACGGATTTACAAACAGCGAATGTCTTACCGTTAGCAGTTGTTCAACAAGCACAAGTAAAAACAAATGATCAACAAACATTAGCATTTACGCTGAAATTTCCAATTGAAACACGATCAACAAGACCAATATTACCTAAACCATCCGCTACTGATCAACAGTCAACATCAAAACCGTTCTCATGGTCTCGTCCACCAATGCCAATGCCAGAAAGAAATATCGAAGACGAGTCAACAAAAAAAAGTCATCGAGGATTAACAATCATACCCATTAATGATAATGGACGAGAATCAAATCGAATGGATATGGATACAATGGAAGCGGCACATGTTCTGGCATCAGCTGCTGATATGACAATAGCAGCTGCCAATGCTAAAAAAAATCAACAAGACGATGAAATGAATGTAGACGCACCAATTGCTGGTGAAGAAACGGTACAAACACAAGAATTACATATCGATGAACAGCAAAGGAATGAAAAACAAAACTTAGACAATCAACAACCAACAACGATCACCGCGAAAGTGATTGATGACAATGGAGTTGAACATACTGTGGTCTTGTCAACAGAAGAAGCTTCACAAATCTTGACCGATGGTGCTGTACTTGTCGATGGTAATGCAACTATGGCAGGTAAGAATATTTCTCAGATATATTCGCCATTTTGCTAGAGAATATTCAGTGATACATATCAAATAAATGACTTTTAAGCATATTCTTTAGGTAATACAATATCCATTGAACCCCAAACATACCAGTTAGATTTATCTCAATTTTCACTTGATGCCAATCAATTACAAGCAGCTTTAGCTCAAGCGGGCATTGATACTAGTCAACCATTAACTATTGAACAAATAATAACTGATCCACAAATACCAGGACAACCTCAACAAACAGCAACATTATGTACATCGCCTGATGGTACACAATTCATTTTAACTCAACCACAAACAAATTCATCACAAACACAACAATATATTTTACAAACAAATACATCTCCAGTTGTTTTGCAGCAATCTACTGGTCCACAGTATACAACTATTGTTCCATCGACGAACGACATTTCTGCAAATAATGAACAACAAAGAAAACATGATTCGATTTATCAACAAAAACAACAATCAACCACGGCTCCCAAACGTCGTTTTGCTGTTAAAAGTACAGCCAGTACAATACATGTAGAGAAAACTGATGATAATTCAAATGATAATAATGGAGATCAGGGAACTGTTACTGGTAGAGAAAGAAAAGCAGCATATGCAACAAAATCAACCGTAACACCAATAGAAGACGATGGTAAATTGCATTTCTCTTTTCATACTTTTTCCAGGAGTTTTAAGACGCGGAATTATATCGTTTGATTATTTTACGAAAGTGTACTGAAAACATGAAAGACTAAATTAAAGTAGAAATTCTGATATTTGGCTGATTTTAATTTTATTATAGTTTTTCCTTTACAGACGTTTTTTAAATAGGCAACCCGTATTGAATACAATTCATTGTTAATTTAGATGAAGGTATTGTTGGCATACGAGCATATAGGCGAAAAAATTCTAACGGTAAAAAAGTATCAATAGATACTTTCGAGGATGATCAAGTACCCCAAAAATCATCGCCTGGAATCACTGGTGGTCGTTTATCCTCGTCAACAGATACTGATGAAAATCGACATAATTCTCGACAATCACTATCACGCTCTTTTCAATCTGATAACAACAACGATCAAAGTGTGACACGTCGAACGACAAATGGACGTGGCGAAGTTGTTTGGATAGTTGTCTCGAAAATGCCCGCATGGCCTGCTCAAATTGTATGTATTTTTCTTTTAAATTCTTTGACAACAATAATTGAATTTGTTTTTCTTGGAGGTTGCTCGATCAACTGGTTGTTTAATGATTAAGTATTTTAATGACGATAGTGAACCAGATTTAGTATCAGGCGATTGTTTAAAACCGTTTTTAAAATATTATGATGATTATGCTAATATTGGTCCCTGTACAGTTCGTCGTCGTCAAGGTTTTCAACAAGCTTTAGATGATGCCTATGCTGAATGGTTAAATAATCGTGTAAAAATACGTCCATCATCATCGAATATTATTCATGAAATGAAAACACACGATGGTCGAGTTTATCGAACAAATGATATTGTATGGGCATGGCATATTGTACAAATGATATGGTGGCCAGCTAAAATTCTTAATTTATATCGTCATGGTGAAATAGAAGTCGAATATTTGGTGTCAAATGACAAAGAAATATTAAAAGACGATAGTATTGAACTATATAATGAATTTTATCATAAATATCATAAATCAGACATTGAAAAAACAGATTTAACATACCATGAAGCTATTAAACAAGCACAAAGTGCATTAGAAGATTCAACGCAACCATCCACAACAGCAACGCCAGCCACAATAGTAATAAATAATTAATAAACATTATTTACGTCAAGAAATATTATCTAAGAGTAATTGACTATAGAAAGTCATTTGTTATGCAATAATTTCAAGAATGTTTATTTTATTTTCTATTAAGAAATTTCATTTTATTTATTCATATATAGTATCTATCATAATTTCGATGTTTCTATAATTTGGCTGTAAAATCAACATTACTACTATCTCTTTGTTTTGATTTGTTTTGATTGAATTTTTGAAACTTATACGTTCAATTATTGGATGGATAAATATTGTTAGCGAACTGCAAGATAAATTTGTTCTTAATTTGTATATATATTTAAGTAGTTACATCATTTATTCTTCTCGATCGAAAGGCTAAAGATTTTCAGATTTTAGTTGTATGGTGGTTTATTTTAAGTGTTTGTATGTATACTATGTATACAATACAATTTTGTTTATTTACCTTAGTCTATGTATGTAGATACACACATATATCTTTTCTATTTTTGTTTGTGTCGTATGTTATGTTTATATTATGTACAGCGTATTTTCTACTTATCTCATCATGTTTTCTATGTATATATATTTTTTAATGAAAAAGAGAGAAGATGATAAGAGTTATTTCTTTATTACGGGCACGTGTTGTAACATCGTTTTTGTTTTATTATGTAAAATTCTTACAGTTTTCTTGTGTATTTTTTTTTTTCATTGAAAGTTTTTGTTGATATTCTGAGACATTTCTTTTTCTGTAGACAAAAGAATTGAACAGAAGTATAGAGAAAAAAGGCAAAAAAAACAGCTTTTCAACGTATAACGAATCGAATAGAACAAGTGTATCAGTTTCATCAATATCTGCAAAGATTTGCAATGAGAACAAAAAATGGTCAAGATTCATGCATGATTTCAAAATTAACCGATTGTTACAGGTATCTGAACAAATTTCTGAAAAGACTTAAATGATAGACCATTCTTTAAATGCAACTGTATCCGTATTTACCTAGTCTGACAAACTCCTAGTTTTAGATATGATATTGAAATCTAGTGATTTAATTTTCTTTCTTATGCTTTTCTAACTCGATTATGATTGTACCTTTGGTCCTTCATCGGTAGTTTGATTTTAAATAAATATGTCTTTGGAAATCTTTTTTAGACAAACATATGAAAGTTTTACGTACTTTGTTTATATCGAGCGTTGGATTTTATGTTGGCGCTTATTCCGTTCAAAATTATAAAATACCAAAAATGATTTCTCCTAAACAATTGTACGAACGCTTTAGAAATTATATGTTAACAGGCAAAAAAGACGATTAAATTCGTTTTAATCTGTAGTTTTACTATCTAATGTTTTTTCCTATACAGATAGAGACAATTTGCCCAAACTTATTTTTGTCTACATTCAAATATGGAAGATATATTTAGTCGGTGAGCACTGAAAAAATGACGACAACACTAAGATTAAAAAATCAAAAAATAAATATTATATTTTTCTGAAAACAAACATTTTCCTTGCTCCAAATAACTATTTGATCCTGCATTTCATTTTTTGTCTCTGATGTATTTTTGTTCGTTTCAAATATCTGTATTTTGGTTCTGTTTAAAAAAAAATTATATACTAACATGTTTTGTAGAAAAGAATATTTCTTGATTTTTTTGCATGATTAAGAAAATATGCAGATTTAGCCGTAAGTATCAATTATAGTGATTCATATTTTGTTATTGAAAAGGCTATCATAAATACATTTGTCACAAAATTTGATATTAAAAGCGAATTGTACATATTACAGACAGCTAGAATAGTTTGTTTGTAGATGTTATTAAAATATTTTGCGTCTAATCGAAAAAACATATCATCCGTGTACCATTCATCCATTTATTTTATATAAACATTTTTTAATAACAACTCTAGTAAAGGAAGCACAATTTCGTGACTATAATGTGTTGAAACAAACAAATTTACTATTTATCATACCCCATTACAAAATCATCAACATCTACTGTCAATAATTCTTTCAACATCAGCAAATATTGAGGAAGATTTATCGGTAATCGAATATGAGACAATTACTAATGAGACACTTGAATCATTAACAGAAAAATTTGAATTTATTATTGATAAATATAAATAGTCAACCGATTACGATGTAACATATATTAGTGGTGTGTTGACCGTTGATCTAGGACAAAATGAAACTTATGTGATCAATAAGCAAACACCAAATCGACAAATATGGCTATCATCACCTCAAAGTGGTCCAAAACGATATGACTATGCACAAAAACGTTGGATATACAAATATGATTAAATATCGTTGCATAATTTATTAAAAAAATGAAATATTACAAATATTTAAAGATAAAATTGATTTTCAAGAGTGTTCATATGGAGATAAAAAAGTAAAGTGATGTTTGACTTCTAATTTTATTTTGCTATTTATACAACACATTGATTGACTAAATTTGATATTTTTAGAACTAGTTTAGTTCAACTAGTATTAGCTTATTGATAATCTGAATATCTGTTTTTGATGTCTAAGCATTTTTGGTGTATCGAAAATTTCATTTGTTGCATTGTGATTGAGAGAATGATGAGTATATTTCTTGTACCTCACCCCGTTCATATTGTAGATAAAACAGAGTTGATACTAGTTTCAATAGCCATCATTGAAATAAACTATTAATTGTATAGTGCCGACATATAGATCAATATTATCTTCTAAATGAATATTTTCTACAAAAAAAATTCTTTAATAATGATTAAAATTCAACATTTTCATAGGTTTTTATGTCATTTTTCTTAAAAAATCCTTTTATAGGTATTTTGTAGTTTAACCAAATTTGTTTGATTGATATCCAATGAAAGAATATATTTCAACATTTTTACTGTTGTTTTTTACACAATAAACTAATAATATTTTGAATAGCAGTATAAACGATTGATTTCGATCCAGAGGTGCTTCAAAACTATTATAGAAAAATCAATTAACAATGTAAACAGATTCTGTTACACTAAGATCATATTTAGATTACCGAGTAACCGATTCAATTGAAAATTCTCCTATTGAATACTTACCATCTACTACAAACGTGCATAAAAAATAGTCTTTAATTGTGGTTTGAAATAATCAAACAGTTAAGTTTGCTCTTAGAAATAATATAAAACCACTTGAAAAATGTTACACTCTTATTTCATATTATCAAGAGACAACGACAACGCCATTTTTCTTCTCCTATCACACAAATACTATTAATATTTATTATTAACTTCGTATGTCTGAATACACAACACAACATATTAGAAAGAAAAAGAGATGTCTGTCTATTCTGTATCATCATCATCGAAAAGCCATTGTTTTTCTTTATTTGTCAAATCGGTCATTTTCAACATCATCATCACATCACATACGTATAACAAAACAATTAAACCTAAGGATAGGGGATTACATTATATTCTTCTTCTTTTGTTACACGAAGAAAGAACGAAAGAAGAAATAAGTTTTTTTTTTTTTTTTATTGAATTCTATCAGTTGACTATATAATCGAAAGGGTACAGAAAGAAAACTAAAAGATTGAAAAAAAAAAAGACGAAAGGAAAGAATATGCCAATATAACTATTTATTATTTATTGGCTTGGTTTTCACACACACACAAACACGAGTACAACATTTGTTTTACTTAAAAAAAAGAATAGCTCTCTACAACATTTTTTTTGTGTTTCCGACTAAAAAACCTAAGCTATATTTCTCAATAATATTCGTAGTTCTTTCATTTTTTTTTTTCTCTTCTTCTATCTAACAGCGCAAGAGAAAGTCACGATTTAACAGTAGTAGAGGAAAAAACTATTCCGATAATGTTGATAGGAACACAAATACTATTCTATCTAAACAGACATTATGATACAGAAAAAGAAGAAGAAGAAGAAGAAGAGAAAACTCCCGAGTTTTTCTTGTCAGGATGATGCGATGCAGGTCAAATGATCAAGGAATTGGATCATGGGTAGAAATAGAAAGAGAAAAAAAAGGAAAAGAGAGGATGTAGAGAGAAATAAGAGTTTATGTATGATGGGGAACGAGGAAAACCATTTTATAACAAACATAGACATATTTTATACTTACATATATACTATACATCAATGTAGTGATTTTTTTTGTTTCCCCTTCGAAAACTTTTTTTCTATTAGAAACTCTTTGTGTAGTTATATGTAGTTATGCTGTTCCTGATCAAACGATTTTATTTAAACTTGTCAGGTAAAATTATTCAACAGATACGATTATTCAACGGATTACGATTCTATACACATACACAGTAAGCACAACACAGCCTTTTTTTAGGTTCAACCGATGATTTATGAACATTTTTAAAAGTTTTAAACTTTTTTTTTTATCTTTATGAATTTTTTTTTTTTTTAAATTATTCAAAATTTCTGTTATTTTGTTTTGTCCAGCAAGAATTATTGAATTTTATAGAAAAATCGTTACACTTAACTTGATCCAACTTATTTGATAAGAATTAGATATTATATATCAATTGTGCAAATTTAATTTGAATATAAAATTATGAAAATTCTATAAATACTTTTGGACTTTTAATTGCGATGTTCGTCAATTATTTATTCCTTATTTCTCTTTAAATGCAGATTGCGTCTATATTAGACAATAATACTTACCCTTTACATATGTAAAGCTCGATAAATTCACAACTTTTTATAAGCTTAGACAATAATCCATAAATGAACATCAAATGTAGAAAGAAAACATGCACATTTTAATTATAGAATATTCTAAATTAGTTACTACATATTTACTTCAATGTTTTTCTATTTTGAGCAAAATATATTTTTGAGAACGATATTATTTATTTCAACATTATAAGATAGAATCATAAATTGAGATAGTTAACATTGTGTGTTTTATTACCGTTTTTCATGTTTGACTCTCTCTTGCTGACATGTTAGACATCAAGCATTTGGATATCACACATTATTACTCTAAAGATTTGCGTAAAAGAAGGAAATATAGAAGTGGTATATTATCCAG